AATGCTCTTTGCCGAGATCCTGCATTTTTCTTTCTCTATTGATCCAATTGCCTTTTGAAGGCTACTATTGAATCCTATCAAACAATGCATTCCACCTCTGAACAACTGATTGATAAATGTCTTTCCTCATGCCACCTCTGGTTCCTTTGCTAATGTGATCCTTCAAGCTATTGGCAACAGTTGTTCTTTTGTCTCATTCTTTCATGTAGTGTTTAATTGTCCCAGGGTTACTAATCATGATACATGCCATGATAAGACTATGGAACAAGGCAAGGAGACAGAAATAACCTGAATTATGTCAATTCCCAAGAATTACCTCAGCTGGTACCCAGGCTGCTGGGCTTATTCAGCATCACACTCCATCTAAGTTAATTGGACCCATCTCACTTTTGACACAATTAGAATCTTTCATGATTTTGAACACTCAATCAACTCCGCTTTTCACCTCTCAGCTCTCTGGAGAACAACCTTAGCTTCTCAACTTTATCCATGTAATTCCAATCCCTCATCTCTGGAACCATTCTGTTAAGTTTATATTGTGTCCTCTCCAAAGCAACCAAATTAAATTAAACTATTTACATATTAACAGAGTACAACTCATTCTATACAGATGCTGGCAATGTTTCTATCACATTCATTCAATTTTACAAAGAGCCATGGGGCCAAAATAACAAGAAAGCCACGCTGAATTGAGCAGAATGATTGGCTACTTGCAGGATTTCACAAAATTGTGGAAAGGGGGTCTTTAACATGGCTAGATGAACTGGAGTCAGGGTCAGCCCACACCCAGATTGGAATGTTGAGGTGTTCCATACTACTCTAATGTGTCAAGTGTGGATTGGGAAAGGCATCATGGGAACAAAACTGACCCAAATAAGGTATAGATCCATCTCTGCAAGATTATCAGTCCCTTCTAGAACTGAATAAGCCTTATTTCAGCATACTGGGTCCTCTCTATGCCAATGTTAGAACGAATATCTATTTTTAACAGGCGAGGATTTCATCAGGCCTATAGTATAAAATCTCCCTGGGGATTTTTCTGTCTGCCACATTTCTTTTTGACTCTGGCGAAAGATTTGCCAAGCTGTCTCTACTGAAATTTCTCAAAATTGTCTCCATGATCTGTCTCCTTTTCTGCACCCGTTTCTCCTCCTGACAGCAACTAAAATCTAAAGCATGCACATGATAAAGGCAGAATTTCAGTCTCTAACCAATGTCTTCTCAGGCTTATTCCTCACCTACAATAAAGTAATATCTCCTTTTGCCAAGAAAGCAATCTAATTGCAGTCACAGGCCTTATAAGAGTCACTAACAATACTGCATTATCTGATGAACTGAAAAGAGACTGTTTTCTCCAGGGTGAAATTATTGTCAGGTTTTCCCTGCTTCCTTACATCACATGGCTCCTATTATTGGACCATTTGAAAATTGACTGAATTCAATCAATGAAAGCAGTTAAATTCTAATGTTATTTAAAACTGGGGATGTAACTTGTGATTGTCTGGTTGGGAATCCAATAACGAACTGTAGAATATCAGCTAATAATTTGTTGAGAAGATCATGGCTCACTTGCTTCCTAATTCAATTTTCTTTCCATCTGTTCATTTCTCTGTTGAGTTTAGTCTGCCCTATTTTCTTCTCCATTAGTCCTTTGATCCTTTATTCTTAAATTTTGTTGCTGGATGCCCCTTTGACCTCACTATGCAGTTATAAGCTCATATTAGCTCACAGGACTAAAGGATGTAGCAAGATATTTAACGCACTGTGCTCACTGCGGGATGCCCCACTCTAGCAAATTCCAGGCTAAATTTTACTTTTGTGCTGTAAAGCAATGCCAAAAACGCATAAATCATTATTTCAATGGCAAAAGTCACTGCTAAACGATTATACATTATTTTTAAAGGACTGCATTTCCTGCATTTTCACAAAGAATATACAATTAGATGTTTAGATGCTTGACTGACAGATGAAGAACAGACACACACTAATACAACTCCCCTCCTAGGTTTTGCAGCCACCAAAGCACTTAGCAATCAACAAGCTAACTTGGATAAAATCCAAGCTGAGACTATTGGCAGCACCATTCTTTTTAAATAAATCATTTGAAGAAACTGAAACCATAAAAGGCTATAATTGAAGTTTCCCTCCAACAGGAACAGCGTACAGCTACTAATTTTCAATGCTTCTGCAAGAGTGTTTTAAGCATTTTACTTTTTATAGGACAATCACTTTGTGGAAGCATCTCTGTTATTTTAGCAGCAAACATGGACTTTAGAAATGTTTTAACAATCTTAACATAAAACATAATCAGTTATGTTTAAAAAGAGTAAAGTTGAACAAACCGTTAACCAGGATCCATCAAATATGTTTCACACCAGAATGTGCTGAGCATGTTACTAAGTATTGTAGTTGAAACAATTGGTGCAAACAGATTGTGCAAATAGAGACAGTTTCAAATTTACTTCACAAGTATTTTTCATTTAGTTTTCTTTCTGTTTCTGTTACTTTTCAACATCTTGGGGGAATGGAGACAATGCAGCCAAGGGCACAAGTTAGAGATTGCAAACAGCAGAGCAAATGGCGCCAGGACTGTTCGCTTTTGATCTGAATTGTAAAAGGAGTTCATGCAATGCAACGAGTTGATAGGGTTTCTTTTCAAATTAAATTAAATTAAAAAGTGGTCACGACTGTGATGGAATCTGTTGCACATTATTCTATTGCCTTGGACAGACTCCTTCGGCTGTCTGTACTGTGCAATCCTATTAACTTGTGGCACTGCATGAACTTCTTTTACAATTCAGATCAAAAGCGAACAGTCCTGGCACCATTTGCTCTGCCCTTTGCAACCTCTAAACTGTGCCCTTGGCTGCACTCCCTCCATTCCCCCATGATTTTGAAAAGCAAGAGAAACAGAAAGAAAGCTAGACAAAAATGGGACAAGAAGTGAGTGAGGCATATGGAAAGAGAGAAAGACTAAAGCTGAAAGAGTGAAAGTGAGTTATACTTAGAGAGATAGATATGAATTGAGGCATTATGTGCTCATGACAAAGAAAATGAAAGCAACGGAAAGAGAAACTAACAGCTAAAGAGAGAAGGATTGAAAAATTGTGTGACAGAGAGGATGTGACAAGTGTACTAGCTGTGACCCTGTCCCACATGTCAGCCCTGAGCCAACACCACACCCCTCCCCCCAGTATTCCTGCCATGCTGCTCGACCCGTACCTGGCCATCTATTTCTAGCCCACCTGCCTTTGCCCAACCATACTCCACTCCAGGCCTTGAAAGAACGTTTCTTTCTCACACATAAACACCCACGATCTTGTCGCATTTGGAAGTAGTGGCAGGAAACATTCAAATCCCTCCTGACTCTTCCTTCTTTTATTTCCTTATTTTGTTCTCCTTCTTCCTTAGCTTTTCTACTTTTCTCTGCTGCTGTTCTCCTACACAATCATGAGCTGAAACCAGTTGTAAGAGTGAAAGATAAACCAAGATGAGTTTTTGCTCTTTGGTGGAAAACCAGGGGAAACTGGAAGCCACCCAGCTCGAGGGATTTTAGCCTGGCAGGAAGAATGGGGTTCCCAAAAATACTACAGAAATTAATTAGAAGGTTGCTTTAAATATTTTCCAGTGGGGCTCTCATCCTAAGGTCTTTTGAGTTGGAAGCCTGCTTTACCAGGACAAAGCCAAAGAGAATAGATTGGCTTACTTGGAAGTGAGAAAGATATTGAAGTATGGGTGTCCAATGTGGAAGCTCTCTTGGTGACTAGGGGTCCAAATGCTGCTGTGCATTACTTCAGCCATCTTCTGATTCCAGCTGTCACAGACACGCATAGTGCAGTGTCCCCTGGGAAATTCCACTGGAGTGAAGTAGATTGGAAAGAGAACTTATGTCTTCTCCTTCCAGCACTAACTGTACTTACAGGTTCATTCTTTTAGTGATTATTAGTGAACGGCTGAATGATGAGGTGGGTGAGTGGGTAAGATGGGTGAGCGAGTGAGGTGGAGGGTAGTCACACTGTAATGGGGTCAGAGTGCAGTTGAGTGGTAGTTGATTAGATCAGGGGTCTGATGGGGTGGAGGGGGTTAGTTGGTCTGGGGTGTTGTCGGGTCTGGTTGGGAGAGTGGTCAGGTATTCAGGCAGGGGACGTCCAATTGGGTTGTGCGGATAGTCATCTCAGGTCAGGACAGGAGCTTCATTGTGAGGTTGATCAAGATGGTTAGGAAATTACCCAGGTGTTGGACTAGGTTTTAATCTGTCCAAATTTTCCTGGATCTGGCTTGGATCTGTCAGAAGTCTTCAACACTAACTTAAGAGTCAGTGACATTCATGGAGGCTCAGGACAGAAGAGGAATGGTCCAACAGAAGTTTAAACTTCCCAGGATATTCCCGTGAAGGGATGTAAGTACTGACTTCTTCAGAGTCCTAACATGTATCTTCCAGCATATGTTAGTTCTCCAATGATCCAGAGACCAGAAGATTAAAACCACTGTCATCACTGGTTAATGAAGAGTGATTAAGACAGCCACATCTTGCTCCATCTCCATTAAATTGGAAGCGGGCATGTTTGTGGTTGGAGGTTGGGGTGGGGGGGAGGTGCTTCTCCAGACTTTGCCATTTTAACCTCTGTTCCAACTCTAAACCACTCAGTTTTGGGTGATAAGATTAAATCCAATATTGTCTTTGAGTTAGTTAGTTTGCATCGTTTAACAAGAAATTTTAAAACAATGAATGTAGATGATTCTACAAATCTTGCTTGAAACAAGCATGCAGCATCTAACTGTAAAACTGCAAAAATTGCTCTGTCACAACAGTAATTTGGAACAAGGATCCTTTTTTTTTAAATAAGGGTTGAAGCAAATCATTTGATATAAATAGTTATATAACCCTACAGTTTTCTGGATAAATTAGTGTTAATTAATTCATAAACATTTTAACAAGCAATGCATTTTGCTAAAATTACACACTGAGTAAAGTATCAAGGATGATTTAATCAACTTACCGACAACTGTGAGGTTAACTTGAACTTGTTTGCTTCCTATCTTATTTTCTACAAATAAATTGTAACAGCCGCAGTCGTCATGCTTAGTTGAAGAGATGATTAGTTTACTGCTGTTGTCTGTATTCTCTATTTTTATGTGGTCACTTTCCTTAATCTAATAAGAAGATAAAATGAAGCATGGGTTTAGACAACTTTTTATTTTGATGTGTACAAAATGTTTGCAAAATAAACTGATGTGACTGGTTTAATCTGTATTTTGGTTAGAATTGCAGAAAAAAATCACAAGTTTCCCACACCTTGAGGACAATTGTTTGAACATGCCAGTAATTGGTTGCTTCACCTATTGCTAAATAAAAACCGAAAGAACTGTGGATGCTGTAAATCAGGAACAAAAACAAAGTTGCTGGAAAAGCTCAGCAGGTCTGGCAACATCTGTGAAGGAAGAAAGAGTTAATGTTTCAGGTCTGGTGACCCGTCCTCTGCTAGTTCTGACGAAGGCTCACCGGACCAGAAATGTTAACTCTTTTTACCTTCACAGATGCTGCCAGACCTGCTGAGCTTTTCAGGCAACTTTGTTTTTGCTTCACCTATTGCTATTGCATGTCAGACTACACAATCATGATTGTTTGAAATGTGTTGTAGGAAGGCAAAGCTCATGTACAATAAGGTATTCTCAGAAAATGGCTATTCATACATAAAATGACTACATCACTATATTAATTATCTAACTTATAGGCTGGGGGTTAAGCTATCTCCTTTTTTACTTCTGGTGTCTGGGTTTCCGATTCTATTCAAACTGATAATTCAAAAATTTATTTTCTCTGCTAGTTATAAGGTAACAGCCTGAAACAAGTTTATGTTTTCCTAACCATAATAAGTATTACATATTTAATTAAAAATCTAATCTTTACTAGTCCAACTATATAAGGAAAAATAGTTCAATAAAGATTACCAACCATATTACAAAGCAAAATGTAAATTGATATTTGTTTTAAATGGTACAATGACTTGGCACAAATACATTATGCTTTGTTCACTAAGTTATTATGAAAGACTATTATTTGTCCTGCAAATTTGTACCTGAAAGAACAATTTGTTGTTTAGATACTTTACCTAATACAATATCTAGAACTCTGGAGAATAAGGACAATTTCAGAGATAGTAAGAACTGCCGATGCTGGAATCAGAGATAACACAGTGTGGAGCTGGAAGAACACAGCAGGCCAGGCAGCATCAGAGGAGTAGTAAAGTTGATGTTTCGGGTCGGGACCCTTCTTCAGAAATTTCATACTCCATTTCCCAAAGACAAATCATCTTCATGAACCTCTTATTCCTGCCTGCTACATCCTCGCCTCAAAGCCATGCATGAGGAAGGTTTAAGGCTGGAGATCAAGACTCTGGTCAAGATGGGTGGTCACCTCAGCTGTATTTTCCCTCTCTCCTGTTGCCTACCAGCTCTCCATTTCAGTTCCAACCCCATATTACTTTATAAATTGCTTCTGTATTCCCCAACTCTTACAAGCTCTCCTCTTTGAAACCAGTTTCTGCTTCCTCATCCTTGCCCCATTTAACTCATTAGACCAGTGTTTGCTGAAAACAGAGTGGTTCCTTTGCACATTGTCGTGCTTTGGGATGTTCCAGAACACAACAATATAAGTTATTGCTGCAACTAGATACATTCTGGAGTAGATTACTATATGGATATTTGCTGAACATTTGCAGATCATCAAAATTCAGAAACTTCCAAAAACAGTGTCTATAGAACAGTTTTGCAAACAATACAACTCATGCCTTTTTAACAATGTGGAAGAAAGCTGTGTGGCATAACAGTTAAAAAAACAAAGTACACAAGAGAAATATTAATATATACATGTAGACTAAGTAAGGAAATGGGATTAAAGGAGGTAACTCTTATATGGAACAATCACTGGCACAAGGTTAATAGTCTTCTTTAGGGGGTAAAACTACTCCAACTTTACATATTTTATATGTAAAGTTATGGAGGGAAGCTGCGACATAATGGTAATATCACTTGACTAGACATCCATAAACCCATGTTAATATCTTACGAAGAGTAAGAGGTTGAGTAGGTTAAGTCTGTACTCAATGGAATTTGAAGAATGAGATGTGACCTTATTGAAACGTATAAGATTTTTAGGGGTTTCATCGGTTAGATAGGGAGCAGTTGTTTCTCTTTGTGGTGGAGTCCTGGACCTGAGGACAGAATCTCAACATAAGGAGTCACCCAGTTAGGACAGAGGAGAAATTTCTTCTCTCAGACATTCTTTACGACAAAGAGCTATTGAGGCTGGGCCATTAAATATATTCAAGACTGATCATGGCAGATAGTCAATCAGTAAATGAATTAAGAATAATGAGGAAAGGCAGTGAAGTGAAATTGAGGATAATTCGATCAGTCATGATCTCATTGAATGGCAGAGCACACTCAATAAGCTGAATGATTGATTTCTGTTCCTATGTCTTGTGGTCTAATGACGTTATTAGAACAGATATCCATTTGGGCTAATATTTTCCTTCTAGAGTGAACTCAGCAGTTCAACTGCTTCTGACAGAAAATGTAACCATAAAACAAATGGATAAAACATTACCTGCTTTCTAAACTTTAGCCATGTGTAGCTGAGTGGTTGTGTTCCGGCGAGCTTACAAAGTAGTTCCACAGATTCTCCTGCACGGACTTTCATACTTCCTGGACATTGAAGTATCTGTGGTGGAATAGCTGTTGAAATGAACATCACATTTAAAGGTAAGGAACAAGTTGGTTGCTCTCTATCTCCAGGACAATTTTCATAAATTTGGACAGATATTCTTTGCATTAATAAAACTGAATAAGGTTATGAAGGATTGAATATATTTTGGTTCTTAATTCATGGCTTCAAACAATGACAATTATGCTGTTGTTCAGTCTTCCAGTTGGACAATTTACTCACCGAAAAAAAATGCATTCTCAGAAAAATTATTCACAATTATTATGGAAAAATTTCATAGAAGTTTTATTTAAAATGCTGAACGACAGAATGATGAAATGCTTGGTGATTTTGTCTGACAGTTTTGTTCAGATTAGAGTGATTAATCTATTTATGAAATAGTAAGGTCTCACACCACTTAAATGGAGAAGCCAATATCACTATCTTTACGGGCTTAGTAACATGAAGATATGTAAATTGCCTTTAAATATTTTACTGACACCATAACTGGTATGATTCTTGTTCAAGTTAATGAAACAAAATTCACCATTTGCTTTCCTTGTCAAAATATAATGAAACTCTGACATTCAGTGACATTACAGTTGATAACATAAACAATCCTATTTAGGCACTGCTTTATGTACTCCCAAGACTGTATTATATATCAACTTTATTATGGAAGACCACATATCTTGTATGAAAAAGTATGACTGAGCAAACATGTGTTTGTAACAAAATAAATTATAATTATATTTTGCAGCTCACTCTTAATAAATTATTTACTTAAGTTGTGAGGTTATATTCATTCACAGTCTCTTACGCTCTACTGAGCAAAGTTTGAAGAAGCCATCATTAGAGATACACATTTTTGATTTTTGATAGGCCAGCATTTATTGCCTAAATTGCCCTAATTGTCCTGGAACTGAGTAGCTTGTTGGGCCATTTCAGAGAGTGATCAAGAAGCAACAATATTGTTGTGGGCCTGAAATCATAGGTAGGACAGACTGGGTAAGGATGGCAGATTTACTTGCCTACAGGCCTGAACGGTTCACTAATTTCTGTACCTAGTATGGCCTACATGTAACTTCAGTCCCACATAAATGTAGTTACATGCCCTCTGAAGTGGCTGATTAAGTCACCCAGCTGTATCAAATTGCTTTCAAAAGGAAGGATCACCAACTCATGCCAACAAGGGCTGGTAATAAATACCAGGCTAGCCAGTGATGCCCATATTCCAAAAGTTTAAAAAGTGAAAATTATTTGCCAAGAAAAAAAGCAATCGTCAAAGAGCTATGTTATGCATTTTTAAAAATCCTTCTCTTACAAACAGCTACAACTGAAAGATGTTGATTCATTTGAACTTCACTAGCTCTGACAAAACTAATATTTCCAAACTTTGAACTTGTCTTTTCTCTTTCAGATACTACGATGCTATGCACTTCCATATTCACATCAAATTTCCCGTTGGTGCAGGTTTCCATTTTTTTTATTTCAATAAGCTATTTCTTCCACTCGACTGTTCATTAAATTCATTAACTATAAACAACTCAATTATTGCATGACTGATCCACATACCTGTGCTAAAGTATATTAATTTAGTCTCAATAGGCTCACGTTTGAACTTGCTGGCTTCATTCCCTTAAGTTCAAAAGCTCATGGTAGATTGAATAAACAAATACCCCAGAGACTCCCAGCTGACTGTCTCAGGATATTTTTGTTGATCTGATAACTAAAACTAGGAAATAGTTGGTGAAATTTAAGTTTCTTGTTTGATCAATTGTAAATTATTCACCAGCTGGGATATGTTAAGGTCAATTTTCCACAACAAGTACAAACATGTGAAAAGTAAGAAACAAATGCTTTATTGGGGGTCATGTTATTGGAGCTCTTTTACTTATAAGGCTGCAGACTGTAGAAATGGGAGGGAAATGTTATCAAAATTTTGTAATAACACGAGTTGCTATATGATAGTTTGGTAAAGAAGAAAAGGAAGCAAAGTTAAACTTACCCTCTTATTAAGAAACGTCTTACCTGGTTTGGGAGGAGTTTTTGGAGTTGGTTTCTTTTTTATGGTGGCCTCAACTAAAAGAAAGGATAAAGAATAAACTGAGGATGTCAAGACAAACATCTTAACATAGATTGACTGACTGTTTAAAATGATCGTGCAGCATTTGGAAGTTAATTCAACTGAAAATATTTGAGCAAACAAATATCATTCTTCACTGTGATGAAAATACAATTACGAAACTGAAGTGTTGTTTTAGTTCTATTATTTATTACATTTATAAGAAACAGAAAGTTATTAGGACAGACTTGCCATCCAAAAGATCAGTGTCAAAGGTCATGTTGAAGTAAATTTGTAGCATAGTTCAGACTTCCTGATGACCACTTTTTCTTCATGTGATGTGAACTGATTCCATCCAATTTATTTGTTACTTAAAAGCATCAAACACAGGACACAAGGAGGATATGTTGACCTTTACGAAGTTCGGTCACCGACTGACTTAATACTGTGATGCAAACAATGCTGCTGCTGACTTCTCCCTTCAAGTGAATAGGTACATTACAACACGTATTCTGTTGTCATCCTATTAGTGTTAACTTTTGTTAACCAGAGTTTTTAACAGAAATGGAACAATGGTGGGCATAAGGATCTAAGTTAAAGATCAGCCATGACTAGATTGAAAGATGGAACAGGCTCACAGGGGGCTAAATGGCCTAATTCTGTCCCCATATTCCTAATTCCCTTTTAATTAGCATTATTTTACTCATTAATTTATCTCAAAATATTACAGAAAGCATAATGGATTTTAAAATCGAACACTTTTAGACCGATTATCCCTTACTGTTCCTGCTAAAAGAACTAACGTTATCTCATGACATGTCCTGCAAAAAAAGTAAATTAGTAAACAAAAAGTAGTCTATTTTTTGGTGTCTTTTGATCCTTCAAAATCCTAGGAAATAGTGATAAATATTAGATATCAAAGCAAAGTTAGAATTAAATTAGAGTTTCTGCACGGAATATTCAGCCTAAAATGTTTATATTTTTAGTCATGGCAGAATCAATATTTTTTGAAGATTCAGCATTATTTCATTACTTTTGTAATCTATGGCCCTGTCCTGGGTCAACAGCATGAAGGAAAAGGAATTCCCCAATACTTGAACTTGACCTTCAAAAATGGCTGCCTGCACACCCCATTTTTGGTCATGGTGAGGGAGGCAGTGGGTTAAGTTGAAAGTTGGGTCAGGTGACTCATGAAGAGCTGAGAAGGCTGCCAGTTACTGAGGTTCGCTGGTTGGAAAGCCTGCCTTGGGGCTCCAGCACGTGTCCAAAAATTCACATAAAACAATAAAGTACAAACAGTCCCTCCAGCCCTCACGCCTTCCATTTCCTCACCCCACCACCAAAGTCCCCATGCCCTACCCATGTCATCCCATGCTACTTAATGCCTTCTACCTGTTCCCATAGCACCATATACTTCCTTTGCCATCCTATGCTCCTTTATACAAAGACCATGGCCCCTCATATCCCCATACCAATGTACTGCTGACTTCCTCCTTCACCTACCAAGCCAACATACCTAGTATCCAAGAGTATCCACGCACACAGCCTTAATTTACGATGTTCAGGATCCCACATGGTTCATTTTCTTAACCACTTTATTTGCCATGCTAACTTCAACAACTTCTGTAAATATATCCCCAACTCCCTCTGCTCCTGCACCCCTTTTAGATTTGAACCCTTTAGTTTATACTGGCTCTCCTCATTCTTTCTCCCAAACCCTACTATCTTGCACTTCTCTGCATTATTCTTTCTGAGATCATTCTGCCACAATTCTATATCTGTCACTATCATCCTGACTATTTACTAATTCCCAAATTTTGCTTTATCTGCAAATATTGAAATTGCTTTCTGTACACCAAGTCCAAGTCTTTGATGTATATCATGGAAAGCAGTAGGGCTAGCATTGATTCCTGGGGAATACCATTGCATACCTTCCTTCAGTACAATAAACAATCTTCCACCACTAATATTTATTTCCTGTTCTACTGAACCAACTTCATATCCATGTTGATACTACACTATGGTCTTTGGTCTTCAATTTTCCTTCCCAAACCTAATATGTAGCACCCTACCAAACACCTTTTGGAACTTCATTTACATGACACCAGTCCTCCTCATTCAATTTCTGTTATCTTATTGAAAATCTTGATCATGTTAGTTAAACTCAATTTGTCTTTAAAAAATCTAGGCTGACTTTCCTTGATTTGCCTATAATTGTGCAAATTCCTTATATTTTTCTGGGATTACTGTTTCTAAAGGTTTTCCCACTACGGCAGTTAAACTGACTGGCCTGTAGTTGCTGGTTAATTATTACACATGTTTTGAATAAGGTTCCATTCCTCTACAAACAAGGAGGATTTGAACATTATGGTCAGTACCTTTACAATTTTCATCTTTACTTCCCTCAGTAAGGTAGGATGCAATCCTGCAGATCTGGTGACTTACTTGTATTATCACACTGACATCAGTCATTTGCCCCTTTTTTGTGTTTTATCTTACTTTAGGAAGCTCTGATTTTCAAAGACTACCAATACTTCACTTCCATAAACCCTTCCCTCAGTCTATTGCTGCAGCATTACTTATCTACATCTCTGTCACCTCCAAATTCAAATGCTTGAACTTTCTTACTGATTTCCCAAGTTTCACTGACCATGGATTATTCAAATTCTGCAGATTAATCATCCAAACTGCTGCTCAAAGCCTATCCTGCAGTGGGTGCTACCACCATTTTGCTCTTGTCTTTCACAAATCTAAGAGGTTAACCATTTCTAAACACATACTTCAAGATCCATGACCTCAATTATTAAATGAAGAGACCTTGACCCTCTTAAAAGGGATGAAGGAACTTATAGAATTAAAAGAGTAGCGTGAACTCCGGGATTCAGTCCAGAGAAGCTGGACAAATAAACACAAATAAACAGATAAGTTCTGCAGTGTGGTAGAAAGCTGAGGCAAAAGGCCATGCAGATGGTTAAAAAAAAAATCTTTAGGGATATGGTAACTCAGGGAAAGTCACCTTGTTGCAAAGACCACTTTTACTTTTTGAACTGTGGACTTAAAAATGGGAAAAGGTACTGCTCTAAACCAATTGACTGTGAAAGAATATGTTGCTGTTTCTAACAAAACAAGTACCTTGTTGAGGAGACAGTGGGAACAAAAGCCCGGATGAGAACAGTCAATGTTTAAGGCAACGTAGCCAAACTGTGTCTAGCAAACTCCTTCTCCCCAGGGTAGATTGGGGCAGAGGAAGTTCCCAGACTCAGCCTCAAAATTTAAAAAAGGACCCTGTATTCCTGCTGGATGTATAGGAGGTCTGTCAATCTAAAACCTTATTTTCAAATTTAGTGGTAGACTGAAAAGTTTCCAAATAGCCCCACAAAATGTGAGCAAGCTTACAATCCCCAATTTTAGAAAGGATATCCATACCCCTGGAGGACGAGCAGGACGTCTGGTGAGCTGAATTCTTCTTTTCAATTTTCGAACAGCAATACGAGGCAAGTCCTTGAACGGATGCATAGTTGCTAAGGAGGCTGCCTCACCCAGATTTAAGAGGCTTGCATCCCTTGCGAGGTGAGCAGGAGGTCTGGATACCCTTTGCTTATTTTGAGAATTTACCAAAGAGATTCGTGATGTTTCTAAGTGCCCCCTGAGCCGATCAGAAAACTGCCTCACCCAGATGAAGAGCAGCAGGCACATCAATCAAACCTAGCCCAGCCCCTGTGAGTGAGAGTCCCAGACTTACAGGAATGAAGAGGGATGCAGAAAGGTCACAAGCCAGACAGGAAAATTTAAACAGTGAGAAATCCATAACCCTGCTGGATGGGCTGGTGGCCTGGTTGGACAACACCATCTCTCAGACCTTATAGGGAGAATAAGACAGGTCTCAGAACGCCATGCAGATAGCGTGGGAGATGCCTCACCAGCTCATGGAGCTACAAGCCCCAAAGCTGCAGCAGCTGAATAGCCAGCTGAAGAGGGTCCCAAATAAAGTTTGGGAACCAAACCCTGCCCAAAGTAGCAGGTCAGCGAAGGTCTGTAATACTGACGCGCTACCACTGACGCTAACACAGGGGAGTTCTAGCACAATTAAGACCCAAGTTATACACACAGCCCAGTGAACATGAGAGTTTACCAGAGGATGGAACTATTTGAGGGTAGCCAGGAGGGATCAGGTGGGAAAAAGAGGGACTGGAACATTTTCCAATTGAAACACCAACTGTCTGGCTGGCAGACCCTGAGATTGTAAATGTCTGGTTGCACACCTGATCCAATAGCAGTGGGAGAACATGGACACCCTCCGAAGAAAACTTTCAACAATTTTCTGGGAGTCAACTGGAGAGTAACTCACAAGCAGTCCATGACATGGATGGACAGGAGAACCCATGCCAATAAATCAAAAGGCATACCAGCTCATCCCTGATAAGCTTGTGTGGATCAGGCAGGAAATCCAACCCATGTGGGGACCCCAATATATTTGAGCTGTTGCTATGCTGGAGGTTCCCCAATGCACTAGTTCTGGAGCCAGGCAAAACAATATAGCTCCACTTTACTGACTTGGAAGTAAATGTTATGACCAGGATCAACTCCATTCTCAAGCCACAGATTGAGGAGTGTAAAGACAGGTTCGGCCACTCAACCAGTAGATTAGGATTATTTACATTAGAAAGACGGAGGTTGAGGGGGGACCTGATTGAGGTCTACAAAATCATGAGAGGTACAGACAGGGTGGATAGCAAGAAGCTTTTTCCCAGAGTGGGGCACTCAATTACTAGGGGTCATGATTTCAAGGTGAGAGGGGAAAAGTTTAAGGGAGATATGCGTGGAAAGTTCTTTACGCAGAGGGTGGTGGGTGCCTGGAATGCGTTGCCAGTGGAGGTGATGGCGTCATTTAAGATGTATCTAGACAGATGCATGAATGGGCAGGGAGCAGAGGGATACAGATCCTTGGAAAGTAGGCGACAGGTTTAGATAGAGGATCTGGATCGGCGTAGGCTTGGAGGGCCGAAGGGCCTGTTCC